TGTCCTAAACATATTTAAATAAATAAAGATTTTTTTATTGTAATCACTTGAATCGTAGACTACGATTCGTAGTAAACAGTGTTGACAAAATAATGATGACAATATAATATTTACATATTAAGATGGAAAATTAAAAAATTTATTTAGTTTTAAAGTGAATTATTATAATATTACTTTGGGTAGACATTTGGTAATATTATATCGAATATTGCTCAAATTTATTTAATCAAATAAGAAAATATAAATTATTTTTGCATTTTTGAATATGTATAATATACAATATTGTTTATTTTTATTAGCTATATTTATGTTTTAAATGTGCATTAAGATTTTTTATACCATAAAATCTTAATAGATAAAACTATAATCATGAAATTTAAATTAAGAGCAGTGACATTAATTTCAAAAAAAATTGACCAAATGTTCCATGATATATTATTTTAAAGTTATGAAATTGTGTTTTGAACAATCCTGATGATTAACAAGTTCTTTAAAATTCTGTTATTCACTTAAAATTAAAAGGATTTTACAGAATATGAAATAAGTGTTTCAAAATCTATTTTTTAACTCCTTTATCAGTAGATTTTTAATAATTTATTTTTAATTTTTTCATTGAGAATATGTGACATAAATGTTATAAAATAAATAAATTTGTGTTTTTAAATGATTACAATTATCAATATTAATTACATTGATTGTGAACTTACTGTGCAATAAGAAATATAAAACCTTGATTATAAAACATCAATGGATTTGATTTTAGTCTCAAAAAACAATTTAGATTAATCAGAATTTTTAATAGTTTCTGAATATTTACGAAATATTTAGAATCTGAATATTTAGCAAATTTATTTATTTATGCCTTTTATTTGTAATTTTCTAATCAAAACCTTTGAGGCATATCTAACAAATAAATGAGACCCATTTTTTAGATAATTTATTTTAAATTTTTCTCACATTCTCTGCTGAAAATGTTTGATAACTTACTTTTAATCTACTAAATGATTGTTTTGGTGCCAAATATTTAATTAAAAACGTCTCATATCTCACACTACGTGACTGCATACTTAGTACTCAAAAATTACAGAATTGTTTGTGTTAAATAAGTACAACTTAACACTAATAATTACAAATTAGTTGTTGAGTTTGCTTTTGTTTAAATTTACATTCAATAATTTAAATTATATTTTGTTATAAATCTTTATTAGTATAAATTCTTGCAAATGTGACATTTAAATTAATTTTTAATAATCTTTTGCATCTACAATATACTTTGTAGCTTTTTATAGATTTTAAACTAACATATACTTTTAAATAAATTATTTACAGTTTAATTATGTTATTCTTAAATGATTTAATATTATAAAAATTTGTTGATTTGTAAATATATATTAGTTTAATATATTAAAATAATTCTTTTCCAATAGTAATTGCAATTTTCCATGAATTTTTTTATCAAAAAATTAGAGATAATTTATAAATTAAATGAAAACAAAGTCATAAAATTTAAAGTGCTTTTAATTCAATGATATAAATGCTTGATTTTATTGGCCTACTGTGGTCCTACCTAATAATAGTTATATTTGATGGTTAAATAAACATTTGTAAAAATTATAAATGAAATGTAAGAATCTGAATACCATAAATACTATATTTGAACTATTAATTAAAGAATTTAATAATCGTTTGACTAAAGAATTAAATAAATTTGACAAAGTTACTAACTATACAGTATTTATAGTTTAATTATAAGAATTTTTGTAATAAGGTAAATTTAAACTGAATTAATAATAGTTATAACTTATAAACATAAAAAAAATATAGAGTATTGGGAGACGAAGATAAGAAGCCGTTTGTGGAGGAGGCAGAGAAACTGCGAGTCATCCATAAGAGCCAACACCCGGACTACAAGTAATGAAATATATAAAATGAGAGATGATTTTACATAAATCATACAATCATTTCAATAGATATCAACCGCGACGGCGAAAGAGTAATAAAAGTAACAGCAGTTGCGAAGGCGAGACATCGAAAGGCAAAACAAAAGTTATTAAACAAACGACCGCCTCTTCCGCCCCAAAGTTTGCAGAAATACATAACATATGATTAATTTTTGCTTAATTAAAACAATTTGTATATAATTTAGTAAAATAATTAAAAAAGAGAACTTAAATGGAGTGAAGAATGGCTCGAATGGCAGCAAACGTAAGGCAAACCAGACTTCAGTGAGCAATGGAAACGGCAATAGCGGTGCTCTCACTTTAACGCCTCCTCACACCCCCTCCAATGAAGTGAGCACTTTGCAGCGCAAAAGAGATAACACTGGTGAAACTAAGCCAGGTAATTTTTGTAACTCTTAATACCCTATATCTATGGAAGCAATACTAAAGAAGCTGTTGTATAGTCTGCATAAATATATAAAACAAACGAATTTTCGAAATTCAATGCATTTTAGTGACAAATACTGTATTTGATTACGATTATTATGTATAGTCATAAACCCCGGACCCCATCACAACGGTCCGGCGACCGCCAGTGGCCCCAACGCTATAGACTTCAGTCACGTGGATGTGGGAAACCTGACCACAGAAGTGATGACAAACATAGACGAGACAGAACTCGACCAATACTTACCACTTGTGAACGCCTCGTCCGCACAATATTCCAGTGCAATGGAGGCCGCAGCAGCCAACTCGCCCGTCAATGCAATGTACGCCTGGTCTACCAAATACCTTACATCCCATCAGAACAGTACAAAAGCCAATGCCAAACAAAATGACTCTTTCAATGATAATAGTTATGAAAGCCATCAAAGTTTATACCCGAGGAATGGAGAGCACCAGCAGATGGGCTCTTATGACCACTGCGTTAGTGTTAATCAACTCTACCCCTCGTATTCAAGTTACGCCTTATCGGCAAACCATAGCCCTTACGGCACGGGATTTATGCCACTCCAGTGGCCTTACACTTGATGCCATCAAATATCAAACTATCCCTTTATTTTCAAACATTTGCCTCTCTTTTAAGAATTATTTGAATAAATATTTATAATTATTAAGAAACGGCAACTGTATTGCAATTGTTTGAATGTTATTATTATATTAATTACAACATTAAATTTGTGAATAAATCTTATTATTCAAAAGTAATTATAAACTCTAACATTTCATATTTCAATATAATATTATTACTTTAGCATGTAATTTATTTATCATTTTTAAAAATAACTTATTAAATACAAAAGGCAATTTTGTATTAAAATTTATTTTACAAATAAAACTCAACTATTCTGTAAATGATTTCTCGAGAATTTTCAACAACAAAATGAAAATATATTTTACAAAATATCAATACATACAAAACAAAATGAGTCCAGTTCTAATATTTTTAATATGAATAAAATTTTTATGAAATTAACATTATTAAGGAACATGCTGTACATTATTTAAGTTACATTTTAAGAATAACTTACATTTTAAATATAAATACTGAATAAAGTTTTCACTTACGGTCGTTATATNTCAAAATTAACTTAGATCTTATGAATAAATTTAAATATTGTATTATTAATCAGAAATACAATTAAAAATTAATTTAATTAATATTATTTGGAGAAATTTAAAAAGTTTAAAGAATTTAAAAAGTTGAAATTTATAATAAATTATGAAATCACAGGATTAATTGTATTACGAATTATATTCAATTCTTACAGTATATTTTAAGCTACAATACTCGTATATTATCAATATTAATTTAAAATAATCCATTCATGCATTAGAAAATTTAATGTGAATTTAAGGTACAGACACCTTAAGTAAGATTCAATTGCAAAACAATTTAATAAATTAAATTAAATTCTGTATTACGAGAAAAGTATAGTTTGTTATTCAGTATTATTATTATTATTACTGTAATAAGGATTACTGAATATAAAATCAATTAAATATCGTCGTCGTCATCATCTGGAAGTGGTATCCCCTCTGCCAATCGTCTTTCCTCCTCGAGCTTCGTCAGCATCATGGCGTCCATCTGGACCTCCGGGGGCGCCAACGCAGGCATCTCCACGAACTTAAGGTGAGGGTCGCCGATGAGCTTATGGGCCATCCAGAGGAAGGGTTTCTCGAAGTTATAGTTACTTTTGGCGCTAATGTCGTAATACTGAAGATTCTTCTTCCTGTGAAACACAATGGCCTTCGCCTTGACTTTCCTGTCTTTGATGTCCACTTTGTTTCCGCACAAAACGATGGGTATATTGTCGCAGACGCGCACGAGATCCCGGTGCCAGTTGGCCACGTTCTTGTAGGTGACGCGGGAGGTGACGTCAAACATGATGAGCGCGCACTGGCCCTGAATATAGTAGCCGTCCCGGAGTCCGCCAAACTTTTCTTGTCCGGCGGTGTCCCACACGTTGAACCGAATGGGCCCTCGATTTGTGTAAAACACCAGAGGATGTACTTCCACACCAAGAGTGGCCACATATTTCTTCTCAAACTCTCCGGTCAGGTGTCTCTTCACGAAAGTAGTCTTTCCAGTGCCCCCGTCGCCCACCAACACGCACTTAAAAGTAGGCATTTCTTCGCCTCCAATCGCACCGGGAGTTTGCATTATACGAGTGTCTCTTAATTGTGTCCAAACAATAAGCAATGCATTCAAAAGTGTGTTAACAATACTACGAGTGCTCAACAAATCAATATTACTATACGTTTTGTTTCGTTACCGTTAAGACAACCTTTATTATACTCTTTCGTACGCCGATCGTAATAGCACCAAGGTCATTCAACTTTATTCATTCTCCTATATACTTTATTATACTTTTACAGTATTCAACAAGTTTATTTGCGTCACTGTCATCTGGTTATAAACTTGACAACTTCTAATACTTACAGTGTTAAGTGATCATGATCTTTTATTTTGTCATTAAGATTATTTAATAAAGTGATCAAAGTGATCATGTTTAAAATATGTGTTCAAAACAAAATATAATAGTGAAGTGCAGTATTTGTAGATTTAATTAATTAGATTTAAAAAATTAGATGAAAACATAAGCGTTTATAATTTGTATACACAATAATTTTGACAATTTTCATTTACTAAATATTTAAGTAATACTGTATATCATAGTTAATTTAATGAGAAATATAACGATCGTAAGTGAAAACTTTATTCAGTATTTATATTTTAAATGTAAGTTATTCTTAAAATGTAACTTAAATAATGTACAGCATATTCCTTAATAATGTTAATTTCATAAAAGTTTTATTGATATTAAAAATATTAGAACTGGACTAATTTTGTTTTGTATGTATTGATATGTTGTAAAATATATTTCAATTTTGTTGTTGAAAATTCTCGAGAAATGATTTACAGAATAGTTGAGTTTTATTTGTAAAATAAATTTTAATACAAAATTGCCTTTTGTATTTAATAAATTATTTTTAAAAATGATAAATAAATTACATGCTAAAGTAATAATATTATATTGAAATATGAAATGTTAGAGTTTATAATTACTTTTGAATAATAAGATTTATTCACAAATTTAATGTTGTAATTAATATAATAATAACATTCAAACAATTGCAATACA